GGGAAGGGGCTTCTTCCCTTCGGAGCTGAATTCCGACGTTTGCTCAAGGTCGGTACGGGGGGGGCGTCGTATCTGAACCCGGGGGGGGGGGGTCGATACCCCCCCCCCCCTCCCGGCGGGGAAGGGATCAAAGGGAAGGGGCTTCCCTTCGACTGAATTACGACGTTGCTCAAGGTCGGTACGGGGGGGGGGCGTCGTATCTGACCCGGGGGGGGGGTTCGATACCCTCGAGCGGCTCGGGCGCGGCTCGGGCGGCTGGGGCGCAGGACAGAGACGACGAGTACAAAGAATAACGGAGATGACGGCTCGAACGGAAAAGCCCCTCACACACGCCGACAGGGTCGGCGGATTTGTGAAGTGTGTAGTGGGAGGTATTGAGATCGTCTGACAACAGTCCGCTGGTTGTGGTTTGGAAGCCTCTTGATGGCCATCTTGGCGTTCCTCGTTGGGGCCCTTGGGTGCCTCTTGAGGCCGTCTTGGGAGTTGAGGTCTCCTAGCGCCTCCTGGAGTTGTTTCCTCCATCCTTCGAAGGCCAAAGCAGCATGTTCACAGAGCCTGGCTTGACATCTTCTGGCAATTTTGGCGTGTACGAAGGAATCCCAGAATACGACCAGACACAGTGTAACTTTACATTCAAGAGGTACGCGTGGTGTTTCTGCACAGTCGGAAACAGAGGTATCGTTCGTGACAGCGTCGGCATGCCCCGTGTGGTTGGTTGTGGCAGGTCTTGAAGAGGATAGCCCACCACACGCCGAAACGCTGGAGACGGACTGGACCAGGGGTGCCCGAAAGAGTGGGCATACTCAGTCTTAGACCAGAAAGGAGACCAAAGGGAACTGGCGCAGTCAACTGCTTCTCGGCGGCCCTGGCGAGGCACAGCCCTTGCCAGGCGAGCCTGAGGCGGGTGTACAAAGAATGCCTTGTACGTTGCACTAATATGGGGGCATGCTTGGCAAAGGACTGGTTATCAGCCGCACGTCTCTCCAGGAACTCGCCTTCGGTGGTGCGGCCTTTT